TTCTTTCATTGATGTTTATCTACTGTACAGTGGGTCTTTCAACACCCCCAACAATAGCCCGTCTCCTCAGTCTCTCTGTTCGATCAGGAGCTTCTTTTACTTCTTTACGACCTGGATGACGTCCTCGTGCTCCATGATGTGCGTCAGGCCGACCCTCTGAGGGCTGTACTTGGTACTGGTTCCCTGGAAGAGTAACAGAGGATAAAGTTCAAACCCTTTGTTTTTGTTTGAGATGGATTCAAACATAATGACACTAAACCTGCGTAGAGATCTGCTCCACTCTGCTTCTCATGTGTCATGGCACAGTAAACACAGCTGAGCTCTAAATATAGTGACTATTTTTGTAAATGCCTTTTCCCCCCACATAGCTAATCTATTATTAACAACTAATAATTGTGTGAGCTGCAGCTGTGTTAACACTAATGAAGTATGTTTATTTAATAAAGCTTAAGTACAATGACATTGCTGACAGTCAGCATGCTTACACTGTGTCCCTGTTTCGTACAATATAAAGTGTATTTGTTGTACTAAATAATAATTGAGTTTTTCACATTTCTGTTCGACACCCAATCGTGAGATAAAAGCAACATAATCACACATTAAAAAATGTTGTAATGTTAATATGTATACCACAGAAGTACAATTATTTTAGTACATTTTCTTTAGTGAAATTACACACAAAAAGGACAAGAAGCCCAAGGTGTGCCGGGGCACCTTTAAAACTTATTTTCAGATTTGATATTTGCTCATACATTTTTACAGCAAGAAATCTGACCCATAAATCAGTGTTTAGTGCTGTGGTTTTCAAAATGAATGGACATGTCTTTTTAAATCTGCCCAATGAACAAAAACAAACTGAATCATGAGAGTTTTGTGAACCGTAACACCTGTGTAGAAGGGCCAGCGTCAAGTATGTATGTCTAATGCAAATAAATCCATGACATCAACAAACATTCGTTGTCCATTTTACTCAATAAGGCAAATTTGTTATTTCCCACAGTTTATGGGAAGAGAGATACAAATGTTAGATTTTCTGAAGGTCATTGCCTCTAAAGGTTTGTACTTACCCAAACCAGGGCGTATTTGAACTGTCCGACTAAGGTTCTGTGGATTCGATGGCACTACGAGGGAGAGAAAAAACAAAACAGACATATTTGCAATCATATCGTAGAGCAGATACAGCAGGTCTAACTACTGTAGTGTTGTTATTGGATATGTGTAAAATAATGTTCTTACCACATGTTCTACAGTTGCAGCTCTTCTCATGATGATGGCATCACCAAAGTCTGGGCGCTCTAATGGGAAATAAAATAAATGAACACATGTTTAATAAATTAGGTATGCTTGTGCCTGTAAAAAGAACATGAGTGAATGAGAAAAACATTTGTGTACCTCCTCTTTTCTTAGTGTAAATGCAAATCAGAGCCAGGTATTCCCACAACGTCTCCAGCAGGTAGTCCAGGTTCAACTTCATCCCACAACTGAAGACATAAGGAGGAAATTGTTAAACACTGACAAACTGTTACATACAAAGAGTAATATAGAAACTTCCAACCAACTAAGACTACTGTTATTCAAACACATGCAGATGTATATCTGACCTGATGACAACACTGTTAGGTCTGTGAGCCAGGCGGTTCACCTCCTCAATGGAGATTTGATCCACCTTATTGTACACCTGTGGAAACATAAATAACATTAAGTTGAAAAAAAAGACTTGAAAGAAATTAACACAAGTTAAAAAAGGGGCAAAGCCAAAACCTTGTAACACCAAATATTGTAATTTTACCTCACAAATACGTTTTTATGGGTTGAAAATGTTCATAAAAACAGCAATTTTGGAATAGGAATGTTGCTCTCTGTTTGGCTTTCCGGAATAATGTCTTTCTTTGATCCAGTATGGACTTACATATAGGCAAGGCATGTAAACTCTGTTCCCGACGATGACATCGATGAACTCGTCTGGTGTGCTGTCCTCCCTGAAGAGGACTTCTGCGTTAAAGATTTCTGAGAGGAAAGAGGTTAAAGGAAACAACCAGATAGCTACGTGGCTTCTAAACCACTTCATGGAAATAAAAAAGGACTGAATGGACATTAAATCATTGACAAATGTTTCTTTCTTCTGATGCTGGCAGGGTGAAGGATACTGTATTCGTGAAGGATGAGCTGCACGAGCTTCTCTGAGCATTGGGTGAGAGGAACTGTGGAGTTGTAGGAGAGGCCGCCACCTTTCTTGGGCTATGGAGATAAATCACACATTTTTACCAATTTTTGTATTACAATTAGAGTATTCATTTCTGGAGTTGACAAGCTCGCAGGGATGTTTTTAATAGTGTTTTGCTCTACTTGCATGCAAGGCCCATACATAATGCAACAGCGAGATAACATGATATATGTTTTTTGTATTTATACATACAGGGTCCTCCATTTTTTTCTTGTGCCCAACATTTAACTTGACAGGATATCTAAAAAACGAATAACTATATCATTTTTAAATAAACTGATGATATTCATGCTCCGCCCAGAATGATGATGATAGAAAATGTACCTTGAAATAAATATTGGGTTTCGAACAGTTGAGTCTGATGCCCACCGACTCCAACTCTTTTTCTAGTAGTTCTCTAGAAAGATGATGAAAAAAATAGAGATTAGAGTAAATAATTAGTTTATAAACGTACATGTACGCTTCCCAGAACAACCTCTAAAAGACTTCCACAAACAGTGCCTGTCACACACCTCTGAACATCTCCTTTGGTGGCATCCAACATCATGATGACGACGTCTGCTGTCCTGGCAACAGCAATGACCTGCCGACCTCTACCCTTACCTATAAAATAACATCACAGTCAGTGTAAAGCCTTTTTCTCATTATTGGGACTTGGGAGTGGTAGAATCTATAAAAAGTTGAACGAATCCCTACTCTTAATTCCACGTCATCATTTATTAACATATCTGATAGAACATCATTATAATCAAATAATAGATGTACTTGATCTCCACCTCACCTACTTACTTTGGGTTTAAGACAACGAAATACAAAACCGAGAAACCCAAGCATACCTTGGGCAGCACCCTCGATGATTCCTGGCAGATCGAGCAACTGGATGTTGGCCCCTTTGTACTGGAGGGTGACACATTACCGTGTAAGGACATGTTGCACAGATGTTTAAATCATGCAGTGTTTGAGTGTGTGTACCTCTATGACACCGGGTATGCAGGTGAGAGTGGTGAACTCATAGTTAGCAATTTCACTGGCGGTTGATGTCATCAAACTGAGGAAGGTGGACTGCGGGACACAACAGAGGATTTAGTTACAGGCAACACATGGTGAATGTTCGTATCAAGTTTCTCTTTGCGTTTCCGGTGCCTTTTAACATGTTGGCTTGTTTTTTTTAAATAAAACATTGAGCTTTTTTTATTTTTGAATTTAAGATACACTGCGGAATAATGAATAAAAAAGAACATGTTTTTTAGATTATTCAGAGCAGAAAACATCATTACCGGGCATGTTTACTTACCTTACCCACAGATGGGAAACCGATAAGAGCAACACGAGCATCTCCTGATTTCATGACATCAAAGCATCGCCTTTGACCCCCGCTGTTTTGCTGGGCTCCAGGAGCTGAGCTCTGTACTTGGCGAGCTTGGCCTTGAGCAAACCCAGATGGTACTCAGTGGCTGGAGAAATGAATAAGAAACAGTAATGTGAAACAAGGTGTATGTTGATTCCAACAAATTGAATACGCCCCCCTTTTTCCAGCATGCACGAAAACGTTGGTTGGTCTTCAGGTTTACTTGCGCCATCAATTCAAGCTGCCAATTTAGGGGTAAAAATGTGTGTCCTTGTGGACAGCCAGAGTTTGGTTTGTCCATTCTGGGCTACTGTAGAAACACGTCTCTGTGAACCGAAACAGTTTGTAGTTTCATTTGACTACACACAGTCAATAGATGTTCCTAAATCGAACACACTGCTCCTTTAAAAGAAGGGGTACACAATAATGTAGTTAAAAAGTAAAGAGTGGCTGCTATAAAACTGTAATACCAGCACAACACCACACTGGAGTTAAATCCGGCTAGCTGAATGCATAAGCTATGACTTTGAGTTTACATGTTTTGGGGGATTGCTTCTTTAAGTGTGGTGGCACTTTAACTGTAATCAAGATAACGGTGTCAATTAGCACCAACTCCCTGAATTTCTGTGAGATTAATGAGTAACACAACACTGGCAGCTGACACACAAACACAGAGAGATGAAAGAGAGAGAGAGAGACGTATATCTTGTGTACTTTTATGTGTTGATACTAGGCAATACTGTTCCTTGAAACGGTCATTACAATAAACCAACTTTTAATTAAAAAGGTGGGTAATGGCTACAAGTCCGTCATTGTGTAGCTAACAGTTAGCCCGGCTAGTGCCCTTTATTACCTTTGTTTTTCTGTGTCCGAGCGATTTCACGCTCAATTTCCGCGATTTTATCCAAGATTCCCATGTTGGCGGTTTCAGATGTGATACAACTGTAAAGGAGAGAAAGTATCAGAACACAGAAAAACGTGTCACTCCACAGTTGTTAGCTTTGTTAGCTACACGGCTAACAGTGTGATTTAACAGAAGACAACCCGCTTTCAAAACAGTGCATCAACATATCTAGCTTTAAATGAATATCCACATGAAACACATGTAATGTCAACACTTGAAAATGTTATATTTTGATAGATATTTACAGTTTGAAAGGGGGCTACACTCCGCAGCATGCACAAAAAACTGTCATCACCAACCGGAAGTCGTTCCGTTCCCCTAAGGTTCCGGAAGAAGCAAGGAAACTCAACCTCTCTCGCGTTTTTTGGACCCGTGTTTCATTATCGCTCACATCTATCGGGAAGTGCACCGTATGACCGTGGCATTATCTGCATGGTGGAGTTAAGTATTAATAATGTGTCTGGTCGGTGTAACTGCATTTTATCAGGCGTGCATTCCTGATGTTGTATCTAAGTCATTCGGAGTAATTAGGTAATATATATAGAGAACATGGCTGCGCCCACAGGACCGAGAGGAGCATCCAGCCCGACCGGGTTTGAAGGCTTCCCGTTCGCGCTGGCCTCCAAAACACCGGAGGACAGCGCCGGTAAAGAGCAGGAGCAGACCGGTGCGAAGAAGAAGCCATGCAGGGCTTGTACGGACTTTAAATCCTGGATGAAAGTCCAGAAAACAGAAAAAACGACAACTCCTGTACAGGTGAGGTGGAAGTCAATGGTGAAATATCTCTGTATAGTCATATTAGTTTTACTGTTGTACAGTTTGTATGACAAGAAGATAGACTTATTTGATATTAAATTGTCAATTTGTTAGAGTTGTGTGTGTTCTCCCTGTGAGCTTTATCGTGAAAGTTGTTATTTCATGATGCAATGTCCCATGCTCATCCTGTAATGCATTTGGGAGTCACTGTGCTGTAGAGCCACACAAATTAGTTTAAATAATCAGTTATTCAATTGACCGAAAAATGTGATACATATTTTAAGTAATGTGATAGAAAATGCTGTGTCCAGCCTCTTAAATATTAAGATCATGACCTTCGCTCGTAGTCTTATATATCATATTTAACTGACTACATTTGGACTGACATAACAAGCCATTTAAAGACATATCCTTGGACATTTTCACTGTCCTTCTGAAATGTGTTTTCCTTAATCGATACTTTAAAAAAAATGTCTGGGACCAACGCTTTTATTATCAATTAAGTTTTTTGATCCTGATGTCCAAGAGAGAAATGTTCTGCTCAGGCTCTGGTCCTTGTTGCAAAGGATATGAGCAAAGCACATGTAACCACAAATCAACATAAACCACAACATGCAACTGGATATCGGGCCGTTTCCCTTTTGAAATACCAGCTAATTCACTCTTCTTTATATTCTCCAGGAGACCGTAGCTGCAGAGTTGGGAGCCACAACAGAGTGTCCGCGTGGACCGGGGGGAGTTAGGGCGTAACACCTGGTCCTTCCTGCACACCATGGCAGCGTATTACCCCGATAAACCATCGTCGACCCAGCAGCAAGAGATGGGGCAGTTCATCAACCTTTTCTCCAAGTTCTTCCCCTGTGAGGAATGTGCAGAAGACCTCAGGGGCAGGTCAGACCCACATTTGTTCCTTTTTAAGATTCAATACACAGGCTGACAGACACATTTAAATATGTATTTTAAAAGAGCAAGCTATTTCTAAATGCTCCATTTCCTCTCCACAGATTAAAAACCAATCAGCCGGACACCAAGAGTCGCCACGCTCTCTCTCAGTGGTTCTGTAATATTCACAATGGCGTCAACGTCCGTCTGGGAAAGCCTGAGTTCGACTGCTCCCGTGTGGATGAGAGGTGGAAAGACGGATGGAAAGATGGCTCCTGTGACTGAGCAATAAGAAATGTGAGGACTGAGGGGAGACATTCTTCCTGTGCAAAACTTTGAGTGGGAGCACAACAATTTGGAGCTCATATCTATAATGTTGAGAAACTTTACGTGTGGATAGATAGGCCATGTGGTCCATTTCAAATTTGTGCTTTGTGGTCAGTTAATATAACTGATCAGGTAACAAAAATGAGTGACACAAATCCCTTTCTGTTTCTGCGGTTATAACAAATACTCAAAGTAAAACAAAGATTCACTAAACATGTTGTTTATTCCAGTAATGAGTTTTAAAAGTTTGCGATACAACTGTTTATTGAAAAATGTAAATGTAAATCCAATTTAGCCCTGACTTGTCTGTTAAAGCAGTTAGTAATTTACAAAGGTATTTAGCCATTAAAATGTTGTTTTGTGGGCTAAGCTTGAATATATATATATATATATTTGTTCAGAGAAATATATATTTTACATAATGATGATGATTACATTGTTTTTTCACTGCATACTACTCAGTTTGTTTAGATGTAAGGGTGTGATACGTGCAAAATATGTTCATATATTTGCATTATTTGTGCTGCAATGAGTAAACATTGATCAATTTAAGTGTGTAAGAGGTAGCAGCATCTAGTGGTGAAGTTGCACATTGCAACTCACTGAATGTGAGGGAAATGATCGTATACATTTTAGGTGAATACAGACTCGTCAATTATATCCTCCATCGCATATTTACATAACCTTGTGAAAGTACAATCTCTCTGTCTCTTAGCACTTTGTTTGCTTATTGCTAAGTCGTTATGAATCCTCCTACACATCTGTCCTTGACATCTTGATCCTTTCCATCAAGGTTAAGGAAAAGTAATTAAGTTATTAATATAATATCCATTCCTGCAAATAAATCTCCCTAAATCATACACACTGGTCCTTTAAGTATTTAAATAAGAATAAATACATATATTTTGTTGATTAAAGCTTCTCAAAACTGATCAATCATGGTGTTTCTCTTATTTGTGTCACTATAACTTGCTTTTTGGCTGATTGTTGGACAAAATAAGCACAATCCGAAGACACACTTTGGGCTCTGGTCAATAAGACAATAGATTAGTGGACTAATGTATCATTACAACATGTGACCTCTAGTCCAAGGACTTTGATATCAGAACCTCAGCCATGTGACCTGATCTGTTGTGTGTTATTAATAAAACACTCTAAATATTAATCTGTTATTTAAGGAGCCAGAGGACACACTCCAACAACTCTAATGATCAGCCGCTTGGTTTCACTTTTGATCCTAAAAATGACTTTAGTATTTGTGCCACCCACACAATTCAAACCATCCTTAAACTGTGGCTTACATTTTTATATATCCTCTAATTAAAGGGGCCCTTTTTGGTTTCCCTTTTCCTGGTGTTATGTGTGTTATACAGGTTGTTGTGCATGTAAATGGTCTGCAAGGGCTAAAGTTCCCTCCAGAGGGAGTTTCTCTCCACACTCCCCCCCATGCCTAAAATATTTACTTGTGTAACATCATATTTGCATAACAACAATGCAAATATGAACTTGAAAATGAGCATAATAGGGCCCCTTTAACATTACTGCTAAGATATTGAATTTGGAAGGAGACCTCAGTGACCTCTAGTGGTGAAAGCCATGTGTGTATTTCAGATTCCATAAAACAATTCATGCTAGTACAACATTAGTTGTGAAAATGGCAGCTGAATTTTCACAATTAGAAGTTTATTTCAACCCACTGAAGCTTATCATTCCACAAAGAGACCGTTTAGTGTTATACTCAATGGGCATTGTTGAGGGTCACAGTAAATGAAAATATCCCATGATAAGCAAACATGTGACTTCTCTCTGTTGTGGTATTTGGCACAGCTACATCATCATGAGACTTTTTTCATGAAGGATATTTCACTCAGTATATTGTTTTTGGTCTACGGTGCTTGAGTTCTTTGTGCCTCATATTTAGATTTAGATTTCTTTTATATAATGGTTTTAGAGCTTGACAAAAGTCTTGGCTTTTATTTTCACAAATGTGTTTTGTATGTGTCTCTTATGACTCATCCACCTTAATAGAAGCATAAAACTACATCCTTGTATGGCCCCAAGTCCATTTTTGTTAACACAAACCAACAGCCTTCTTGTTATTTATTCTTCCCAAGTGGAAGTCGGTTACCCTCTTATTTATAACCCCTTAGAACATAATTCGTATACACTATAATATTCCATGTTGGAATGCAGAGGTAAGTAACTCGTTTTATGTCACGTTTAAATACGTCCACCCCACTAATTCAGTGGTAAATATAGTGTGCTTTACTCCACTACATGTAACTTAATACCTTTAGTTATACTTTGCAGATTTGGATAAATGATGTGAAATATAATCAACTCTTAAATCAGACTTTAGTTCCACCTGGAGTAAATTCACAAGCTACCCTGCAGTATACAAAGTCATTCAAACTAGCTGCACCTTTACCAGCTTTAATTACACTTTAATTATCAATAATTATAATCAAAACATATAATATATATTCTGAAATGGGCCAATCTGCATAACGAGTACTATTACTGTAAGTATATTTTGATGCTAATACTTTTGTACTTTTACTTGAAGAACATTTTGAATGCAGGACTTTTACTTGTAACACAGTATTCCTACACTCTGATACCTTAAGCACAATATCTGAGTACTTCTCCCACCTCTGTTATGATTAACCCTTTATATATACAGTCTATGGATTAAACCCCATAAACTGTCTCAATAGCTCGGTCCACGTCGCCAGTTACGCACGCTCCCGTAAGTCGCCGCGTCCTCCTCTGTGCCTGCGCGCCTGTACGTGAGCGCGCAGGACCCGTCCCTACAGCAGAGCAGCGCATCCATCCTGCTGAGTGAGGAGCCGGGAGGAGCGTACTGAGAGAGAGAGAGAGAGATACAGAGAGACAGAAAGGGAGAGAGAGAGAGAGAAGATGGACGGAGTGGGATCGTTCGGAGCGGGCCGGACCGGGTCCACTATCGACCCGATTAGCTTCGCCAAACAGCCGCAGACCATCCTCAGAGTGCTGTCCTGGGTGAGAGCTGTTTTTTCCCCCCAGGCACTGCTTCTGTTAGTGTGTGTGCGCGCGTGTGTGGTTTTGTGTGTGCGTGTGTGTGGATTCGTGTGTGTGTGCTGTCGCCGCTGCGCGAAACCACTGACGTGTTCCCACTGCAAATATACTCGATAATGGATAAACAGGGTGCGTAAAATGGAAATGAAGGTGTATGTTGATGTTTTTTTCATATAGAAATGTATCGTACAGGGTGTAACCAAGGCCTGGTGTCTGTCTGACTCCCTGACCATGAAACTGATTTCACTACAGATGTTTTTTTCATGGAGGAAAACGTCCTTTTCTTATTGAAAAAATCTCGCCTGGTTGTGCTTTATCAATCAAGACTAACATGTGCAGTAGGACCAAACGCGGATTGTATAGAACATATAAAAAACAAATAGGCTAATTGTCCATCTTCCTGCTTCCTGGTTTAAATGTCAACCATTATGATATTCACATGGATTGTCCTTTATAATACAAAAGTGTTATTGACTATACACACCATCGTTTTTTTATAACGCCAATCATATTTCCAGCTATTGATTTAGCTGTTTTACCCTAAACGGTCGTCGTCCGTCTTCCCACCTGTGATTGGTCCGCGCTCTTCATTACGCACGCAGGGCCACGGACACGCGGCTGACGTTTGATGTAACGAATCACCTTTGGGTGACACAGAGAAGGTCTCCTTTACCAGTGCGGGGATTTTCTGAAACACACACCGAAGAGGGCATCTGTCCAAGAGCTAATTACTGTACATCTGAATGAGAGCCTATGGTTGGATGTATTGTACACATATATTAAATATGTTATTCTGGATGTTTCTATAGTGACCAGGCGGTTATGATTTACTACTGAGCCCTTGAGAGGACATATCAATGCCTAGTCTATACGTCAATATTTTAATACCATATTGTGATTTAAAGTTCAATTGCCTATTTTGTTGTTTGTTGGTGTATAGCCTATAATCTTACTCAAGTTAAAATTAGCTAAATGTGCCAATAGTATCGATTAGGGCTTGTTGTGATAACAAAATAAATCACGATATGGGTAATCTCGCGATATCTATACAAATATTGAGACATTCTTGGAGCCTCAACATCTCCAAACACTGTTGGTGTGAGCATGAAACAATAATAGATAATTCATTAAAGAAAATGTAACATTTATATCATGTCACCCCTATCGATAAATTCAGTATTTTGTTTTTTATCAGAAAGCTGTCGAGTTACTTAGTATTTGTATCAATGACAAAAATGTGATGTAAATTCTAATGCAATATAGCACAATAACCATTTCACTGTTGAAGCTGCATTTTTTTTAAACCTAATTTTAGATGCACTTTGGCAGCTGAATCCAGTGCTGTAAAAAGTCAAAAAATAAATACTAAATTGAAAACTCACAAGTGCAATTACCTTTATATTATAACTTAGTGCAATTATTTCCTGTACTTTCTGGCTACAAAGGACTCTTCTGCTCTCTCCAGCTTTGCTATAAAGCTGACTGTCGAATAATTTAGGAACAAGGAAATCAAAATGTAAAGAGGATGAGACGATAAAAGGGAAAGTAAGAAGACTAAACAAGTAAAGAAACACATAAGGAAAATGACTCTTGTAGTAAGCTGAATACCACAGATTGTGGTCAATATATTCGACAAAGAAGAATTTTCTTATAACTAGGCCTAAAAATGTTTTTTTAAAACCATGCAAAGAAATCAATGAAAGTTTGACATTCCATTTGGAGAGACATTACTTTGATACATGTCGATTCACTAAAAGCACCTGAGTGTGTCTGCTCAGATTATATCCACACATGTGATGTTTAAAATGTGGACCAGACATTATCCCATTGTGAGTCCCTCCATCATCATGTGATGCACACCCCAAGTGTGAGTGTGTGTGTGTGTGTGTGTGTGTGTGTGTGTGTGTGTGTGTGTCACATGGCCCTATTCTGCCACCCAGTGTTAGTCAGCTGATCAGTGTCGGCGGGTGAGTCCAGAACAGAGGTAGGAAGAAATACATATCTAGAGATCAGACCTGAAGAAGGGTGTTCTTCATACACATAGGGTGAACTCACAGGAATAAAAGGGGTTAAAGCATGAGCTATATATCAACCTTTATCGCACTTCCTGTTTTGGTATACACACCGCCTCAGGACGATGTGATTCTTGATGGGAAGTGAAGCATCCACGTCTTCGGTCAGTCAGAGAGAAAGAGAGGAAATTAGGTTAATGCTTTTGGTCTGAGCGCGCTCAACGAGACGCTGCTGCCACAAATCCAGTGAGCCTGCATCAATAGAGACAGTTAGAGAATAATTGTATTGTTTAGGCAATACATCATATGTTGAAGGGGGGGGGGGGGGCTATTATGCAATTTTTTTGGTTTCAAATGTGTATTTAGTGTCTCTACTGTGACATGTCTCCATGCTTTAATGTTCAAAAAGCTCTTTATTTTTCTCATACTACCTGTGCTGCAGCACCTCTTTTCACCCTCTGTCTGAAACCAGAGCCCAGTCTGCTCTGATTGGTTAGCTGGCCGGCTCTGTTCAGATTGGTCAACAGTTTACAGATGTCCCGCCCCTTAGCCTATCAAGGACAATGTGTTGGAGCACTAGCCAATATAAGTGAGAGTGTTACATAGTGATGTCACTGTGTTATTGAGTAAACAAGTAGTCCAATGGAGGCATTTTCAGGCAGGGGGGGGGGGGGGGGGATTTTAGCCTTTGCAGACCATTTACATGCACAAAAACCTATATAACACACTACAGAAAGGTAAAACCCCCAAAAGCATAAACCTCTTTAATTATCTTTTTATCTTCGTCCATTTCCTCTCACATGTCTATACCTTTCTTCCTCTTCTCAATCTTTCCTCCTCTTGCCACCCCGTCCACAGATATTTTCCCTGGTGGTCTTCGCCTCCATCGTGAACGAGGGCTATGTCAACATGGGCAGCGAGCGTCTCCACTGCGTCTTCAATAAGAACGCAGACGCCTGTAACTACGGCGTGTTCGTGGGCCTGGTGGGGCTGCTGGCCTGCTCCTTCTTCTTCTTGCTCGACTACAAGTTCGCCTCCATCAGCTCCGTCAAGGACAGGAAGAAGGCCATCATGGTTGAGATCGGATTCTCAGGTGAGAAGGAAGTCAAGTTAGGTTGTTTGTAGAACAGAGTCAATATGATAAGGGTCCATTACTTCCTTCAAAAGATTCAGGAATTGCAAGACAGCATTTGAACATTGGATATTTCATAGTTAGGTCTGTGTTTTACCAATCTAAAGGCTGGGTAAGGGTAGGCCTGATTCTTTGTTTCAGCTGAATGCTTTTCAAGTTTGGGTCCTATTTTTATTATTCATCTAAAGCAGGGGTGTCAAACTCAAATACACAGTGGGCCAACATTTTAAAATGGGTACTAGTCGAGGGCCGGACTGGTTCAATGTTTATTGCAAAACTTATTGAAATGAACTTATTGCACATATTAAACCTGGAACTAACAAAGCTTAAAATTATTGCCTATAAAAACAACATTAAACATTAAATAATCAGTTGCATTCATTTCTTATGGCTCTATCTGCAGCTTTTCCAGAGTCATTTCTTATGATTACATTTTTCCACAGACCAACAACAGCTTCAAAAAAACAATTTCCCTCAAAGAAAAAAACAAACATGCTCTGTTGTCGCAAGAAAGAAAGTGCAGAAGGAAACATCCATTGAAACTCAGTGTGCTGCTCTGTGATGCTAGTTCAAGCCAGATACTTGGCATCTCATCTTGGGTGCAAGTTCATCAATGTTTGGGCTCAGGCTCTGAGCTGAGGAAACCCTCAGGGTTGAGTGAAGGTGTGCGTGCAATATACCGGCGGGCCAGATCTAATAGTAATTAAAAATTATCCTGCGGGCCGAAATTAAATCCACCAAGGGCCTGATTTGGCCCCCGGGCCTTGAGTTTGACACATGTGATCTAAAGAGTCAGGAAGTGCAAGACACAGCCTTTGTACTTCTGAGATTTCTTAGTCAACTTGTGATTAAAGGATTAAATAGACTGGGTTTCCCCAAAATGCCAAAAATAACTAGGCCCACTTCTTTGTTTCAGATCGTTTTTGAAACACAAGACATCAAGAAAAATGATACTCGTGAACATAGATAAAAGATGATAGAGAAATTAGGAACAAAGAACTGCTTCTGCTGGCTCTGATCTGAGAGCAGCTGCAGACGGTGTTTCATGTTTACTTGGAGTTTACCTTTCTCTCTCTGCTGTAACGGCTTGTTTTTTTCCTGCTGGTTTCTGGCAGGTTTCTGGGCCTTCCTGTACTTTGTAAGTTTCTGCTTCCTGGCCAATCAGTGGTCTCAAACCACGGCTGACGAGCTGCCACTCAACCAGGGGGCGGACGCAGCCCGGGCGGCCATCGCCTTCTCCTTCTTCTCCATAATCACCTGGGTAAGAACATGCCACTACATATATATACACAGTGTGAAATTAGAATTACTTAGATTATATCAGTCTTAACCTCTTGGCATGGAAACTCATATTTTTCAATTTCTTCCTGTTCTGTTTGTAACATTTTAAATTAGACTTACAGATACACAGCTTATACATTTAGATTGTTATTGTTATCTTTTACATGAGCGCTTGGTCCACGAACATAAAGAAATATTTGGCTTTGTTCTAAATTCACTTAATATTTTGTGCCGTGGCAAATTGTATGGGTTTTCTGGTCTAGTAACACTGGTTTTAACATCCTTTAACCATCCAATGACTGACATGCTCTCTCCTTCACTGAACAATAACAATAACCCTGAACCTCACAACCTCCAGGTTTGTCCCTAGGGATTGCAGAAAACATACACATTAAACTTTTAAATAAAATCTATTATAAACAATGGGCTGATTATGAGACTATGGGCTGTGGGCAGATATGCATGGAAGCCCCCTCCTACCTATAGAGAGAAAATAACCCTTTGTTTTTTTAACATATTTTCAATCACATCTTGTCAACCATGACTTCAGCTGTGTTGTTTTTAAACTGCACCTGAATGTCTCCCCGGAGACAACAAGAGGATGTGACACTCCTTTCTCTACGTCCTCTCCTCAGATACATTACATTGATATTTCAATATCAATATAATGTATCTATATTATATGTCTAATAATGTTGAGCAGGACATGCACACTTTCACTGAGTGATGAGACTTTCCAAAGTTGACCCCTGAGCAGCCGGGCCCCAGAGCCTGTTAGCTCTGTTTGATAAGCCATCCAAGAACTCTTATAAGTAATCTGTTTCTGGCAAGATTTGCTAGAGGACACGACATTAACGTGGCTAACTGTGATCTGGCTGTGAAAACATGGCTTTATTGATTCTGCCTGGCGTACTTTGACTAGTGAATGGTAAATGGACTGTATTTTAGGGCGCTTTATTGAGTCTTTACGAGCCCTCAAAGCGCTTTACATTCTACCAGTCATCATTCACACCACATTCATTTGGAGCAATGTGCCATTTTGATCAAGTAAGCTAACAATCATACAACACACTCATACATCGTCGGCCATGTCATTGGGAGCAATTTAGCGTTAAGTATCTTGCCCAAGGATACATAGACAAGGGATTGAACCCACAACCTTCTGATTGAAAGACGACCACACAGCCACCGTCGTCCATGCACCAACTAGAGTTGTTAAAGGTCACCTATTATGCAATATCCACATATCTTTTATAAATAAACATGTGTCCCCTCTGTGTAAAGAGATTCTAAAAGTTTCAGGAAAAAAGATTCTCTCACTTTTTGTCCTGAAAATGAGCTGATCAGATTTTGGCCACTTTATGATGTCATAATGATGTTTTGGCTTGTGTAACCATTAGCCAATCAGCAACCAAGGTAACCCCTCCACCCTATCACCTGAATCTCCTCCTAGAGCACCATTGTGTTCTTTTTAACCAAATATCTCTCAGAGGGGCGTGGGGAGGGGCTCCTTATTTTCATCTAAAGTAACAGACAGAGAATCAGTACTTTTGAAACAGGGCTGAAACAGAGGGGATTATGGGATGCTGCAATGATCTGTTTGGTATTTGGAGACAAACACTTCAGAGACATGTTTAGTATCTGAGACCTATAATATATTGATGAAAAACAGTATAATAGGTGACCTTTAATATTCCTCCATCTATTTTCCCTCCTCTCCCCCCCCCCCCCCCCCCTGCAGGCCGGTCTCACAGTCCGTGCGGTCCAGAAGTATCTGCTCGGCACAGACATGACTCTGTTCACCACGGAGCACATGGACGGCGGCGCCCCCACCCAGCCGTACCCCTCCAACTCACCGGTGGGCGAAACCACCGAGACCTCAGAGACCTACCAGAGCCCGCCGTTCACCGAGAACAACGCAGCGCCCACATACCAGGTTCCCATTTACTAGATAAGGAAGACCTGATGGAGGAAGAGTAGGTTCAGGGGTGAGGGATACGAAGAAAGTGATATGAAATCCGCTTTCTGTGATGTTACACCTGCAGTTGTGTATGTGTTTATCTGGGCTGAGTTTTCAGTAATTGTTGGAGAGAAAAAAAATGGCCTTTCCTCCTTTGTTCCTTCTTCTTGCTCACTTTTCTTTCCTTAAACACATTCCAGCTTTCTCTGAAGTCTTTTTCAAGTGTGTGTTAAACTTTGCAAATCAGAGCAGATGAGATGAAAATAAATCAACAGGAGGGAATGTAGAAGAGGAGGCCACTTCGCAGTATCAATCACTATTTTGACAAAAAATTAAGAGATGAAGGGATCAACAAGTGAGTGACTCCACCACAAAGCAGTATTAGATTAAAAAAAATGTGCAGAAACACTCACATAGCACCTTCATCCAAATCCTTTTTTTAGCTACAGTACGGTCTGGTCTTTCCTTCATCTTTCCCTGTTAACAGAAACCCTGTGTGTTAAATCTGCATGTATCTTAAATTAGAAATCAACTAAGTGCCATACTGTACTGTGTGTCTCAGACAGTGACTTAATTTAGTAGATTTCCACATGCTGTAAAAAAGAAAACACCGACGATGTTTTGTGACTAAGTGCAATATCTCACATCTTATCTGTAGGTAGGTATATACTGTACTGTAGGTAGGCTAGTTACGTCAGATTAGACCAATGATAGGCACTGTCTCCAATTACATACTGGTACTTGAATTGTACAAAAACGGTAAAAATCCCCCCATATAGACACACAAAAAGACCACAAAGAGATTTAAAACAAAGACGACATACAAAACAACTCCAAAGATATATAAAAAACTACAAAGAGACACAAAAGAAACATTAAAAGACTCAAAAAACAACCATACAAATAAACAAAATGACTACAAAGAGTTGGAAAACTACCACAACGAGATTTTAAAAGACGACAGAGACATAAAACAACCATAAAAAAAGATAAAAAATAAACAAATGGACTACAAAAAGACACAAAACGATCATTAAAATACCCAAACAACTACAATAAAGTAATAAAAAACAGCTACAAATAGACCATAGAAAAGACTAAAAACAACTACGAAGATATAGTAAAAGCTACAAAGACACACAATGACTTTAAAGAGACACACAACTATTATTAAAAGACTACAAAGAGACATTAAACAACCATAAACTTAAAACAACTACAAAGACATCCCATGGTACCAGGGGCTGTGTGTGATTTGAGACAGTGTCCTATGTTGGGTGTTGTGTGTGTATAAATCGGGGCGAGTTGGGGGGATTCTGGGTAAGTCAGGTCTGTTTATGTTTACGTTTTAGAAGCTGCCAAACTGCCCTGTGTTATTATCGCTGTCTTCGGATTACCACGTTACTACCATGTCGTTAATGTCTATAGGAGTTTATGTAATCACAAAGCAGGATGGGCTTTTATGTTGGCGGGGTTCAGTCAGTGCAGTCTCAGGCTAAAAGAAAAAAGTGTGTGTGTGGGAGGTTAAGGATCGCTAGCTGGCTAATTTACTGATCCTGCTATCCTGCCATTGAGGAAAGAGGGAGGGTCTGGATTTGTTGCCATGGTGACAGGGTTGGGTGGACGTTGGGCCCTGATGTAGATCGTAACCATGCCAACCATGTCGGTGTGTGTGTGTCTGTGTCGTGGTTCACTCGCCAATCTGTATCCTGGTGTGTGTGTGTGTGTGTGTGTGGCGTGCATCCACGTGCAACAACATGTGCACGTGTGTTAGCATGCATTAGAGTGTGGTGTGTGTGACAAATGTGAGAGTGTGTGTAGTTAATTCGATTTTGTGGTGCGGAAAAAGTTATTTTCTTGAACATGTGTGTGTCAAAGTTTTAGTGCAGAGGAGGAAACCATAAGTCTGTTACACACATTTAATCATTTCCCCAAAATAAAGGTAGTCCTTCTGCTAAATAGATATATTATCAGTGTCACTGTCAAGGTGTGTGAATTACAAAGTGTGTTTTTTTTTTTTTTTTATGAAAAGAGCCAAATATAAACCGATATGATGTAATTGACCTGTAGAGCGCACAACTGGGGTTTGCAGAGTTATAATCATGATACTAATGCATGAAGTTGTTGTATAGATCTCATTATATATTGAATACTATGTAATTCTTAGGTTGGTTTGCAAAAGTGAGAATCGCCCGCCTTCAGTGCAGCTGGCAGGATTCATTTTTTGTGTTAAAATAATCACAGTTTAATGTCAGAATTGTGACCACACAGCTCTTTGTTTATTCAGTGACGTTATGTAAACCTCATGATGTCGTTGGTCACACGTTCCACTTTGTGTTCACGCATCGCAAAGCTCCAGGGTGAAACTGTACTAGAATACTGACTGAAACTCACATTTCCTGCAGCCATGAACCTAACTTAGTAGGGCAAAAAACGACTCAAAGTTCAGGCTCTGTTTTCGACATGTAATCCAAATAAGTGTACACTCGTAGAAAAGGCTACTCTACACAAACGTGTGCCAACAAAGAACAGGCTCTGTATTACAGATTAAGCCCCAAAAAATGTGTATCTGAATAAAAAGGGTTATCAACTCTCGCAAAATAAATGATAATCAAACATTATGAAGTAACAATGCAGATTACAGATGTGGTCCTAAGGAAAATGGATGAGGCAAATATGTGTTTGTTCTAGGTAATAAGGATTTAATCATTAGTAATTAAGATTGACCTGTGAGCATGACCAGACTGTGTCAGCAAAACATTTTCAAGTACATGTTATAAAATGAGGGATAACAAATTAGTATTAGGGTGCAAATTAAAGTCTTATTATCCTTTTATCTTCAACTTGTGTCAATATTAGAACCAATTACTCCCTGAAGTTTTTAGAAGAACACCTAGTTAAGCGAGTACACGTTATAAATGAAAAGACAAATTAAGAACACATTAGTATTTCCTTTTATATTGTTTAAGGAAATGGTACAAAATTGAAGTTTCCTACAATGTGTGTCAACATTACAACTCCTTTTTTAAACAGCTATTAGCCTTGTTTGTTTTTTTCAAATATTATACGCCCAATAGCTGCTCAAACTTCAAAATAATGAAACTCTGACACAACATTCAAGTTATAATCCTTCAAGCATGAACATATATGCTAATAAACTATGAAAAAAACGCTGGTACAGTTCTTTAAATCTTCCGTATAACCTGTTAACTGTGGTCAGGTGAGACTGGGGTATTGATGGTGGTTTCAGGTAACACCATTACGTAGTTTGGGGTACAGTCAGGTCAGGATGTGATATTCTTCTCAGTGCTTTAGTCTCTTCAGTCAGTCAGTGTGTTAGATAAAAAAATAACGGCAGCATTCCTGTTTTGTGCTCTGGCCCATGTACACTACCGTGGTATTGGTTGATTGTAAAATTCAGTACGTTATTGAAGTAAATGGAACCTGTGTGTGATGCTGTCTAGGGTATGGTTTTTCCTGTACTACTAAAAAAATCAAAAAACAATATTAATGATTATTTATGAACTAGAAGGCACTCTTTGTTGGAAATACTTTGTTTGACCACTCTTGAAAGCGCCAAAATCAGAGTTTTAAGTGCTGTCGTTTCTGTTGGACTGAGGTTTTAAAAGTTGATGATCTGTAGTAACGCGGGTGCCATCAGTTGTGTGGTTTCCAGTATAATACATTGCATGGATGTTACAATATCTCCCCCACATTATATTGATAATACAAATGTACCTCCCCCTCATTGATCAACAGATAAGTAAACATTGATTTTTGTAGCGTGCTCCCCCTTTAACATGTTACTTCTGAGTTGTTTCTTCCTGTTCTGAAGGTGTTTGACCTCTTCAGTGTAAAGCGCTGTGTACAGATGTGTGTCACTGTCTATTACCTGAATGTCTCTGGACTGCAGTCTGACCGTCACTCGAATAAAAAAGAAAACATGTTTTGGACTGCCTGTTTCTGTCCCCTGACTTTAATCTGTGAAGAAATGTGGGTTTTTGTCATTTAAATTAATGTATAACAATGTGTGAAATGACACTATAAACAATGTGGGTTTCTATCCACCGGTCTTTAATTGTGAGTGGAAACGAAGACAATAAGGAAAAATGTTTGGCTGAAGTGGAAATAGCGTCAATAAAAACCGTGCAATCAAAACAACGTAAATTAAACATGTGACTTAAACATCCACTGAAGCTTCTGCTCCGCTGAAAAGAAGATGATAGCACTAGTTTAATAAAATTAGCGTATGCAGTACGACATTCTGCGGTGCGAGTACTATTTAGTATACCAGAAAAGTATAAAGTGTCAATTGGAGGATGCCAAAAAATACCAGGATGTCATTTTGCGTGTCCTTTTCTGACTATTCACCCACAACATCTGTCAAATGTTATCACCTCATTTAATTCTAGACATGCGTGTCAAATGATATGATCATAATTAGCGTATCAGAAAACGTGTTTTGTTAGTTCAGTCACCTTGAACAACAAATTCTTGATTTACATTCAATTTCAGAACTTTATCAAAGGTGCCATCAACCATGAAGGTAACAACTTAAAAAAGCAAGAATCCTGGAAGGCTGTGGCGCAGTGGACTAGTGCGTTGGTGTTCGGATCAGGGGGGAGCACAGGTTCAAACCCCACTGCAGTCAGCATGTCCTTGGGCAAGACACTTCACCCCAAATTGCTCCTGTGGGATTGTCCACAGTTTTGAGTATGTAAGTCGCTTTGGATAAAAGCGTCTAACAAGTGACATGTCATGTAATGTAAAAAGTACATTGGCCTTCAATCAGCCAAATTCTAATCAGTTCATCCTTGAGAACAAGTAGACGTTCGTGCCGAAATTGAAGAAAAATGTGCGATATCACGGTCTCGGAAATGTGAAAAAAGCAAATGTACTCCACCCAACGACGGCGCAAAAAATAAGAAATGACCGAGTTAGGTACAGATTGTTTAAAAGGCTTGAATGTAAAACTGTCCACATTTTAAGAGAAAGTAGAACAATGGGTTTCCGGGTACTATTAGAGTACAATTTTGGTATATACAATACATTTCTTTTCGCATAATGTGCATTGTAAGCACAACACATACTTGATATAAAAAACACGTAGCTTATATATATATATATATATATAAAGACAACATTTGTGTCATTATGCGGAAATGTATGCATGCATAAAACAGCCGACCATCCATCTTGTTTCCCGATCACCACACAAAGATTCAGAAACACAGTGCTGACAGAAAGAGCTTTATTGAAGACGGACAGAAAATAGAGTAAGCTGCTGTGTGATGTTAAACAAACTCTATTTACACACACACTCATTCAGCCACACACACACACACGCACACACACAGGTGGCAGCGGTGCAGGTGAAAGGTCCTGAGAGAAGAACAGATTGTGTACAGGAAGTAACCGGTCCCTCTAACAAACAGCGTAAACAAACCCAGTGTGACGAAGCTGGAATTCAAGTGAAGGCTGTGAAAGATGACAAGGCTGCTTTGTGTTGCAAACATCATGAAAGCACTATGGATTCCTTCGTGATAAATAATAATGCATACCAGGGCTGCATAATGAATAGATATTTGATCAAAATCCAATCTGGACGAGTGCAATATCCAAATCGCAGTAAAAAGATATTTGAATAAATCACTGTGGTGGTGCCGAGAAGTCCCAGTTTAAGAACTTGATTCGAACGGCTTAATTAAAAAAAAACAAGGGTAGATGTCCTCTTTAAAATATATTCTAAATCATGAATGTTTACCTTGATAAATCATAAACCAAAAAAAACAACCTTTATTATTTTTCGTTTACCCATTATCCTCAACGAGTAGATGTATTATTTGTACTACTTCAAATAATGTACTCTGAGTGAAATTTAATTGACATTCGAACACTTTTTCAACACCAGTCAATCAATTAGCCAATTAACCACATCCAAATATGTGAAATGTATATAAAGAAACTGGTACACATTTCAAAATGAAAAATCTAAAATGTGATCGACGTCCTGAAGCAGCTCACTTCCTGTCACTCACACTCCGACACGATCCATTCACTCGCACACCAGTCCTTCCTCCGCACAAAGCAACGAAGAGTTGAAAGCAATTGAACAGCAGCTTCACTTAAATAAATATGGTGCTAAATATTTAAACCGAAACATATTTGTGTTTATTTTGTTATTTGTCCAAGCAGCCCCGCTGGGGAAATCATACAAACTCAATCTGCCTTTTGACAAAACACTTTGTCATATCTGAAAGTGAGAGCTCAAAGCAAGGTAAAAAATGTAAATCAGTACAATTTTTTTTGTATTAGCGAGCGATTCAAGTAAAGGCTCGTCGTGTTGGACGTTGCCGGTGCCAGCTGGAGACGTCCTCAGAGTGGAAATAAGAGTCGAGATGGGGCAACTCTGTGTTTTTAAACTGTGAAAACTTCAATCAAACTATCAAAATGATCCCCTTTGAAAGCAAATCACTATAAACCGTCTTAATCTCCCACTGGTTACGAGCCCCAAACTCCACTCGGTGTGGTGACTACTGCAGGGGTGAATGTTCCCCGCAATTTCAAACGGAGCCGTGGAAACACGAGGGGCTAGCTGATGATACGGCTGATGGACTGCAAGGAAGGGAACTCCTCAGCCTCCCCCGTGTGCAAGGTCTTATGGGAGTTGAAGTCTTTAGGGGCCAGTACCTGTCTGCACGTGGGACACACCTGGCAGTCCAGCTCGGCCGCGACGTTGGCGGCGCTGCTCGGCGTCTGCCAGGCGTTCTTCTTGTTCTTGTTCTTCTTCCCCCCCCCCCCGGCGACCGCCTGCCTCTCCAGCGCCCGGCAGTCGCCCTGCACCGCCAGGAGCTCCTGCTGCTTCCCGGTGTCAGGGAGCAGCACCAGCAGCTCGTTGAAGATGCGGTGGAAGTCGTCCCCGAGCAGCTCCTTACAGCTGCTGTGGTACTGCACCGCTGAGATCACACTCTGGGAAGACAGAGAGGAGCAGGGTAAGGAAGACATCAATGCATTGAGGCACACTACCGAACTATGGTTGCATCCTTTCAATAGCGATTTTTTTTATTTGTCAGACAGTGTATATATTTGTTATCTTCCCGGCAGAGTTCCCGTTAGCCGGTAATTACCGGACTATGACCGGTAAAATATGCTGAAGACCGGCAAATCTAAATCTCTCCGGTCTAAATGTCCGGTCAAAATAATTTCCCCTTAGCGCAATACCGCATCAGTTGCGCCACTTATGTGACAGACAACAATAGTATGTGACGGACAAGAATAGTCAATTCTAATGTCTAACACATGGAGAAAGAGATGTCCTGTATGGGTTGATTGTGCGTTGATCTGTTGGTAATGCCTCGGGGTTCCGGTGGGCATGTAAACAAATGCATAATGCTGCTGCGCTATACTTTGTGGCCTCACCCGGTTGCATAGCGACGCTTATTGTTTAGGTGTCTTTTAATAAGCAGGTAGTCATATCATTAGCTAGAACTAGCTAGATCTGATCGATATGGACATAAACGTGAGTGAAGTCTAATCTGAGGAGAGAGAGAGATCAGCTGCTGCTGACGAGTCGACACGCAGCTCTGCATGATCACCTGCAGCGGTGAGCGGAGCAACACACACACTTCAGGTTAGAAAATCACACGTAGCTATTTTAATTACCTCTCAAACTACCTAAACTAGTTATAGATACGTTTAGTTTTACTGTCGGGTCACTCATTACTGGATCAGCGAGCTGCATGATACTGACGGGCTGTCAGGAGAGAGAGAGAGCGCTCCGTTTATTATTCCCGTGTTATAAGTTACTGTACACTTTTGAATAATGTAGTTAATCTACTATAATTAGTTTGTTTAATATCGAATCATATCAATTTGTTTTAAAGCTCAATAAATAACAAAGAAGACCTTTGACCGGCACTTTTCTCATTTTGTCCGGAAGATTTAAACTTGAATGGACATTTTGACCGGCAAAAAAATATTCTAACGGGAACTCTGCTTCCCGATCATCTGTACATTTTTTTTTAAACTTTCTAATGCTGATTTATTTCTATTGCTATTTTGAGATGTTTCTATTTTAGAATTGTTTATTTCTATTTCTGTGCAATGCCTTGATTTGATTAATAAAGTACATCTTATCTCATGGAACTCGATTACAGATCAGATTACTAAAGCACACAATAAGGCGAGCTTTAGAGCAAGTGAAACAAACAGACACAATAACACCTGTGGCCACTCTTTGTACATGTAAGATCTTTGTTAGTATGTGTTTATATATATTTTTGTATGGATGTGGATGTGAATAAGAACATGTATCATGTTTACAGGGAAGTACGGTTAGGTACACTTTTATTATTTTAATAGTATAGGACTGTTTTGTCATTAAAGGTAGGGTAGGTAAGTTTGAGAAACCAGCTCGAGTGCGCTAGAATCTGAAAATACACAACCGGAGAAAATCTGCCACTTCCTTACAGAGCCCCTCCTCCAACACACACGAACGCGCACATGACCAATGAGGGCACGAGATAAGTTTGTGCACAGATGGAAGGCTGACAGGCAGGTAGGCCATCCAGTTATTTTAGCCGGGCCGGCTAAAATGATTGGTCGTGCTTTTTACAGTATTACAGCTTCCACAGATGACATTTTTTTATGGATTTTTTGTCAAAGCACTTAAGATATTCATTGCTATCGGGATGTTAAGAGCATTCCATGGAATATAACAAAAAGTGTATCTCGAGCCGGTTTCTCAAACTTACCTACCCCACCTTTAAGTCTCTTAACATGTTTTTATGTTTGTAAGTGAAGTTTCTACCACATTACCATTGAACTGTGGTACTGCTGTATATCTGTGGCGGTACCAACACTTTAAAGCATTGGTTGGTTTAGTGTGGCTGATGAGGAACAGTCGGTGTATTACCTTGTGTTAAAATGTGCTATATGAATAATCTTGCCTTACAAAAT